AGGTTAGCTGTGTTGTAAATTGAATGCGTGACTTGTACTCCTGTTTCATTAGCTCTTCTGGAGGAGCGAGACAGAGAGAGAAACATAGCTCATCGTTTAGTGGATTTTCAGGCAATATACAAACCGAGTCAGCTTTGGTCATTCCAAAAAAATGTTGTGACTTCCCAGTGAACTATGAATAAAGCACCAGAAGCAATTTTTTTAAGAGATGAGCTGATCGGTTTGTCTGTAGACACGTGACAATCGAGGAGCCAAATGCTGCAGGTTATTGGTGTCTAAAATTGAAGCAATGAAATTATTAAAGCCATGGGAACTGTGCACCCTGAAAATAACATTGATCATGATTTATTCCATGCAGGTTTAATATTTAAAAAAGTCATTTAGTGCCAAAAACTGAGACAAGTATGTTTGATAATATGTACTTGCATCTGAGCCAGCATCCATAATCTTGTTGACTGTTTTCCGTACTAACAGGATCATTAACACATTTATTCGAAATTGTTTATTGATATTTTTCAAAAGCAATCTTATTCAGCGACACTAACAACAGGACAAAGAGAGATTCCTTGGTCTTTATAAATTACAGTGTATTATGCTTTCCAACTATATTGTTGGACTATAAAGGACATTATAGAAGTCTTGAAAATAGGAACAGGAGCAGGCTATTCAGTGCTTCGAGCCTGTTCTACCATTCATCTTGATTATGGCTGATCATTGAACTCAGTCCCCTGTTCCTGCTTTCTCCCCATAAAGGGAACACCTTTAGCCCCAAGAACAATATCAAACTCCTTCTTGGAAACATTCAATGTTTTGGCCTCAACAGCTGTCTGTGGTAGAGAATTCTTCAGGCTTAACAATTTTTAGATGAAGAAATTTCTCCTCATCTCAGTCCTAAATGGCCTATCCAGTATCCTTTCTTCATTTGTTTGCAGGATCAGAGTGTTGCTGGCTAGGCAGCATTTATTGCCCATCCCTAATTGCCCAGAGGGCAGTTCAGAGTCAACCACATTGCTGTGGGTCTGGAGTCACATGTAGGCCAGACCAGGTAAGGGCGACAGTTTCCTTCCCTAAAGGACATTAATGAACTAGATGGGATTTTCCTGACAATCGATTCACGGTCATCATTAGATTCTTAATTCCAGATATTTATTCAATTCAAATCCCACCATCTGCCGTGGCGGGATTCGAGTCTTGGTCCCCAGAATGTTACCTGGGTCTCTGGATTACCAGTCCAGCGATAATGCCACTAGGCCATCGCCTCCCCTTCAGAGGTGAATGTGACCCCTGGTTCTGGACACCCTGGTTATCGGGAACATCCTTCCTGCATTTACCCTGTCTATTCATGTCAGAATTTTATAGGTTTCATACATATTACATAGAATTATTACACAGAATTCTGACAGTGTGGAAGCAGGCCATTCGGCCCATTGAGTCCAGCAGGCCCTATGAAGAACATTCCATCCAGAACCATCCCCTACCCTATCTTTACATTTTCCCATGGCTAATCGACCTAACCTACACATCTCTGGACACTATGAGCAATTTAGCATGGCCAATCCACCTAACCTGCACATCTTTGGAATATGGGAGGAAACCAGTGAACCCTGAGGAAGCGTAAGCCATAATTTTTCCTCTCATGCTTCTAAACATGAGTAAATATGGTCTTCACTAATCTAGCCTCTTTCCGTATGTATGTTCTGCCTACTCAGGAATTAGTCTGGTGCACCTTTGCTCCAATCCCTCCTTAGCCAGAACATCCTTCCTCAGGTAAGCACACAAACACAAACAATATTCCAGGTGTGGTCCCTGTGTGCATTCATTGAAGTAGAGATTTCTGTTCAATATTTGTTCAGATCTGGTGTTTCTTAACATTGACTAAAAGGATTTCCAATCATTCCTTGAATCATAGAATCCATACAGAGTGGAAGCAGGCCATTCAGCCCACTGAGTCCACACTGACCCTTTTTAGCAAGGCCAATCCACTTTAACCTGCACATCTTTGGACTGTGGGAAGAAAGCAGAGCACCCAGAGGGAACCCATGCTGACACAGAGTATGTGCAAACTCCACCGATTCCTGAACAATGTTGAATGACGTGTAGTGGGTAAGCCTGATAGTTGTATTGTGCAACCCCTACATTCATAAATCTTTGTTCAAGTGTTTGCTCACCATGAGCATTTTCAAATAGGATCGAGTGTGAATCCTTTATTATAATGAACATGCTGGTGTGATTCAAAGATATTACATAATACCTTAATGTTGCAATAGACATTATAGTTAATGTGCACTTTGACTCAGTCCCACTCCTATATTTGCATTGGCATATGGATGCTGTGTTACTGCCCATATATTTTTTTGCCATATGCCAGACTTAGTCTTGCTCTTTTATGTTTTTGCTTTCGGAAAGAGCTATTCATTTTTCTGCCATTTGCATGCGTTCTGGATAAATCCTTCATTTCTTCATGACAACAATGACCACTCCCTTTGCCTTTTGTCCCATGATGTCTTTGTCATTTAATTTCTCCTGCCCCTCTGTCCTACCCCAGTGCTTCCCTCTTTATTCTACTACAATTTTTCCTCCTTTCAAAGTCTTCACATTTCTGCACCCCTCCCTCTCCCACTCTCTGTGCCTTTCTCTCTGTTTGTGCATGACTTCATTTCAGTTCTGAAGAAATCTCATTGAATTTGAAATATTAACACCGTCTCTCTACACAAATGCTGTCTGACTTGCTATGTGTCCCTTGTGTCATGTGTTAAGTGTGGCTCAGTTGGTAGCATCCTCCCCTTGAACCATAACGTTATGGGTTCAAGCCCAAAGAAGAGCTTGTGATCATGATGAGTAGTACTAGTAGGGAGTTGCAAAGTTTTTTTCTCGCATGAACAAAGGACCTTCAGCCCATTGTGTCCATGCTGGTCATCAAGCATCTGTCAATTTAATCCCATTTTCCAGCACATGCCCCATAACATTCCATGGTATGGTGCCTCATGTACTCATTTAAATAGCTCTTACATGTCTTCCAGGTTTCTTCTTCCACCACCCTTACTGGTAGTGATTTCCAGATACCCACAACAATCTGGTTGAAATATTTTTCCTCAAATCCCCTCTAAACCCTCTGCTTTTCACCTTAAAGCTGTCCCTCCCTGGTTACTGACCCCTGTACTAAGGGGTAATGTTTCTCTGTTCTAACCTGTCTATGCCCCTCAGAACTTTGTACACCATAATTGGATCCTCCCTTAGCCTGCTCTACTTCATTGAAACAACCCAGCCTATCTCATCTCTCTTCTTAGAGAGCTTCAGCATGCTAGCTTTTGGAAGGGACATTAAGGTGCAGCTGAAAGATCACATACCACCAGTTCAGAGAAAAGCAGCAGAGCTCTCTTGCTCTCCTGTCCTGACCAATGGCTATCCATCAATCAACATGACCACAACAGATTATCTCATAGTGTCTACAGCATGGAAACAGGCCCTTCAACCCAGCTTGCCCAAACCACCCAGTTTTCACAATTAATCTAGTCTCATTTGCCTGCTTTTGGTCCATATCTCTCCATATGCATCCCATCTATGTACCTGTCCAAGTGTTCCTTAAATGACAAAATTGTACTCATTTCCACTACAACCTCTGACAGCCCGTTCCAGACACTCACCACCCTCTGTGTGAAAAAAATGTCCCTCTGGACCCTATTGTGTCTCTCCCCTCTCACCTTAAACCTAAACCTGGTTTTAGACTCCCCCCTACCAGGAGGAAAAGCTGTTAGCTCTGCCTCTCATGATTTTACAGACCTCTGTAAGGTCACCCCTCAGTCTCCTACGGTCCAGGGAAAAATGTCTCAGTCTATCCCACCTCTCCTTATAAATCAAACCTTCTAGTCAAGGTACTATCCTAGTAAATCTTTTGTGCACTGTTTCTAATTTAATAATATCCTTTCTATAGTAGGACAACCAGAAATGTATGCAGTACTCCAAATGTGGACTCACCAACATCTTGTACAGCTGCAATGAGATATCCAAGCTCCAATACTCAATGCTCTGACTGATGAAAGCAAACATGCTGAAAGCTTTCTTCACCTCCCTGTCTACCTGTGACTCCACTTTCAGGGAGCTAGGAACCTGTGCCCATAGTCTGGGTCATTATCTGGTCATTATCGTGTTTTTATTCACATCTGTAATTTTTTAAAAAAAAAGTTGTTGGTGGAATTGGATGCAAGTGTGTGACGTTATTACAATCGAAGCAGATGAGCATTTCCAACATCTTTTCTTTCTGAGATTTCCAATGGTTTCAGAGTATGTCAGAAAGGTGTTAATGAAGGTTTATAGATCCATGCAGACGGACGACCTGTTATCTTTACAAGTGTAAGCTGAAGCTAGGAGAGTCAGGATATAACAACATTTGCCAATCATCTCAAGTCTGCTTCCTCTGGTTACCAATTTCCTGTCAATAGGAGCAGTTTCTCTTTGTTTACTCAATGTGGAGGGTTTTCACATTGATAGAGAAATGCCAGTGGCTGTTATCAAACAGCATAGCTAATGACATTGCTAGTTCTTAAGCATAGGTTTCAGCTCTTCTTTACTGTCTGCAGAGTCAAGCTCCCAAAATGTAAACAAATCAAATGGATTGCACTGCAGCTGGGCATCTGGGTGGCGTGGTGGCTCAGTGGAACTGGGTTCGATTCCAGCCTCGGGCAGCTGTCTGTGTGGAGTTTGCGTGGGTTTCCTCTGGGTGTTCCGGTTTCCTCCTACCATCCAAAGATGTTCAGGTTAGATGGATCGGCCATGCTCAAGTGCCCATTGTGTCCAGGGGTGCGCGGGCTAGGTGGGATAGCCATGGGAAATGCAAGGTTATAAGGATAGGGCATGGGGCGTGGGTCTGAGTGGGATGCTGTTTGGAGGGTCAGTGTGAACTTGATGGGCTGAATGACTTGCTTCCGTATTGTAGGGATTTTATGATTTAAAGGTATTAAATATTAGTCAGACCTACCTTTCCATTTATGTTTTTGTGACAGGTTGCTGCGGGTCGGAGCTGCTAAAGGCATAATGAAGGATTGATTGGAAGCTGAGTGAGGACAGCAGAACTAAGTATGTCCTTAACCAATTAGATTGAAGGATTATGAAATTGGCAGTGTAATGTCTGGGAAGGATGTGAAAATTAGGGTTGGTTGGTGCAACGTCGAATCAGGTGAAAAAATAAATAGACACGGAGATGAAAATTTGATTGATAAGGAAAAGGAAAGGAAAATAACAAAGAGATTTTAAAATATCCAGCAGCAATTAAAACTTGAATGGTTGAGTTTCCACACTTGTCTTATTTAATTTTCAATTCTGAAGGGGCTGTTTGGCAGTAATTAACTAATCACGTTATTAGAAAGTGTAAAGACTTGTCTTTCTGTGGTCAGTTTGGTTTGTACCATTCATGCAGTAGCAGCAACTTCATTCTATTTGATGTATTTAAATGATAAAGCAAATAAAGAGATGTCATATTCATGAAGCTTGAACACTGCTCCCACCGATTCTTCAGTAACAAGGGGTTATTGATTTTCTGTAATTCATCAGTCTGTGTTAAAACCATTATAATTATGATCTAAAATCAATGATGCCATCTACTCACCTTTCTCTGGTGTATGACTAGAAGCCAACAAGATCTATCACAGAAATATAAAATCACAGCCTACTGAATATGGTTAAGGAGTTCTGAAGCAGTAAGGTCAAATCTATAATTATCTCAGTGAAGAATGTAATGAACTGCAAGCATTAATCATTTATTATTCAAGGGTAAGTTCAAACACAGCCCTAAGCATAGATTGGTCAAACCGCTGGTTAGTTTGCACAGAAGGGGCTAGCTGTTTCCACAGTGCAAACTGCCATCTCGGCTTTCTCTTTTACCCACTCTTCCTTCAAGTTGATCAATAGAAGATAGGGTTGTCATAGACTTACCAGACCATAGGGCTGATCCCTCATTGGAGACAGATGACTCGTGATGGTTTAACCTGAGGGTCAGCATGCCTCAAGTGAGGGGAGAGGTTGAAAAGGAGAGTCCTTCATGATAACCTCAGCTGGCACGGGGATTCCCCAAAGAAATGACCAATATGTTCTTCAGGACTCTTGATTCCACCATCAGATTTTCCTTTATCAGTTCTTTGCCCATACCTCCCTCTTTGATGTCCATTAGCTAGGGACAGGCAATAGATGCTGGCTAACCAGCGAATCCCACATCCTACAAATGAATTAAAAGTACAATGAATGCCACTTTCAGCCTTTTCGATGAGCCACAGTGGATAATATCTGACAATAGGTCTCAATTCACTGACAAACCAATCCAAGTTATGTTTGTTAAGTGGAGAGTGACACATATCACAGCATCAGCCCATGATTCACGCTCAAACGATAATGCAGAGCCTATTGTCCATACAATCACATCCAAGCTTATCAAAATGTTGAGCAACAAAACAAGATTTTCAGGTTGCTCCATTGGAAAGCAAGTGCAAAAGGCCTTGCCTAGCAACAGATCATCCAACCATTTTGAAACACAAGGCATTTTCCTGAAATGACAAGGGGGAATGGAAAAGATGCGTGAGCAGGAACAGGTAGACAGCTACCACAGCTGCGCGACAGATAGAGAGTAAGAGTCAGAAATCCAGGCAGAACTACCTGGATACCAGTAAAAGTTCCAATGTTATGCAATCAGCTCAGGTCATATGAAGTTATTCTTGATCGCGGAGCTAGATTGTGAAAGAACAGATGCCAGCTCAGAACTATGTACGACATGCCAATCATACAAATGGAGTGAGGAAGAAAACTCTGATAATGAGAATGACGATGACTGTGTAATGACACTAAGGGCCAACTAACAACAGTGAGGCAACCAAGATGTCAGCCAAAATCAACCAAGAATAAGACATACCTCTTCGGAATGAGTAAACAATCAGCCCCAGATCAGGACCAGATGTCAAACCTCCAAAACATTATATTAAAGCTTGAATTGTCAATACTGTTAACTCTGTTTTTACACATCTATCTAACTGTTGAATTGACAATGCATGTCTACGGACAATGATATAGCTATTTGGGATTGCATGTATTTTGGAAAAATAAGTGTTTTCTGTTATGTCTTGCAGTAGACATACCATTAAGAGACATGCTTATGACATCACTGCCATGTCATGGCATGTGATCTAATGGTATAAAGCTTTCAGTCTCCATCTTACTGAGCTTTGTCTTTTTGGAGCATGGCATGCTGACGAAGTGTGACACAGTACACTTGAATTCCTTTTCTTGAGTCCAGACGTGCAAGTGTCTGTGATTGAAGTCTACATATGTAAATGCTGGGAACTGTAATAAAGGCTTGTTGCTTCAGAGCTACATGACCCACATCTTGCCGTATGTTATGAGAGCTAACATAAGTGTCACAGTACGATAATGGCTGAGCATCAGGATATCATGGCTGAGCATCAGGATATCATGGCACATCACACTTCACATCCACTTCTGATGTGGTGAAGAGTGAATTGAATTGGCTGAGAATTGGCGGTTGTGATGCTGAGGACTTCCAAAAAAATTGATGTTTATATGGTTTTGTTAGATTTCTAAATTTAGGTTTTGTTTATTTGAAATCTAAGTTCAGCCTCTACTGTGGTTAGGTTCCAATCTGGGTCCCCAAAGCATAACTTGTTCTCAGGATCACTAATTCAGCTATACCACTGTACTATGAGAACACCAAGGCATGGCAGCATTGCAATATCAGACCATTTGGAATGCATATCCATAAATGAACTTGTTCGGTGTCCTTTGTAGCTGTAGTTATGATGTTTGATCAAGCAAATGATAATGGAAAGAGGCAATAGTTTTACAAATTAAAAAAACAGAAACTACCAGAGAAACTCAGCATGTCTGGCAGTATCTGTGAAGAGAAAACAGAGTTAATGCTTTGAGTCCAGTGACCTTTCTTCAGAGCTGACCGTACACTTACAAATGTGAGATTCAATTTCCGACGAAGTGTCTCCCATGTCACCTAAGCTTTTATTTTTCATTCCCCTGTCACTATGTGGACTGTGAAGGGCTATTTCTGGTGGCAAAGTTTGACTTGGTACATAACTGGGATTTAACTATGGTAACCATAGAGGAATGCTGCGTGAAAAACAAGGCAAACTGTGGAGATTTATGTGAAATAACAGAAAACTCCCCGATAGTGATGCTTAGACATTCTGACCTTTTGGCAAAATTCAGCCTATTATCTCAACACATCAAACCAATCAAAAAGTAAGTCTCAATTATGATGTTGAATTGTATAAAAATAGCTAACCTGCCCTTAAACATATAACAGTGATGTCTCAGTATAACCTCTAAGGAAACCATAGATTCTGCCATGTTCTAAGTTCAGTTCAGTTCAGAGATTATTTAAACTCAAACAATGGTCCATCCAGTTTCCTGGCAGTTGTTTGGAAGCAATATCAAGATCATTCTTCAGGGACACAAATGCTTATATTCCTCTGGTCTTAAAAGTCAATTTCCTTTAAAAACAAGTACTGAAGCATGAAGCAAATTAGGCATTGGTTCAATGCAGACAGCCAAATCTATCAAGCAGATGAAAATAATAAGTGAAGGACATCAGATTGCTGTTTTCTATAACACTGAGTCCTTGCTTGGTTACACTGAAGTAAAACTCAAGAACGAGTGTTTTTACAGTGCCTATCAATTCCCACACTGGCTGAGGTCACCACGAAGCACTCTCCTTCTCAACTTCTCCCCTCACCTGAGGCATGGTGACTCTCAGGTTAAACCACAACCAGTTGTTTCTCACTCTCACTCTCACTCGCATTCTGGCGACTCTACCTGTATTTTCCCTTAGCCCATCATTGAATCATTGTGTGGTTACAGACCAGAAGAGCCCGTTCGGCCCATTGAATTCACATCAGCTCTCCACAATAACAATTCAGCTGATCCCATGCTTCCACTCTTTCTCCGTAAACCCCACAAGCTATCACAGAGTTCGGAGAAGGTGGGTGAAGGGTCCTTTATTCAGAAGGGAAAGCTTGGTAAAATACACAACGATTCGCAATTCTAATGTAAGTTGGGGGGTGGGGGTAAGAGGAATTGTATTTGCAGTTTTGCAAAACGTTGGGGTTTGTGGAGGGGGTGTGGGTGGGGGAAGGTGAGCAGTGGGTTCATAGACATGTTAGCATGCAGACTTTCCAGAAGACCATAAGATACAGGAGCAGAGTAGGCCATCTGGCCCATTGAATCTGCTCAAGCCATCTGATCATGGCAGATATGTTTCTCAATCCCTTTCTCCTGCCTTCTCCCTCGATCCTCTTACCAATCAAGAACCTTTATGTCTCTGTCTTAAATCACTCAATGACTTGGCCTCCACACCCTTCTGTAGCTTTGCTGTTTCTCTGTGGCCTCTTTCTGTCAGTATAAAAGGTTGGATTCCAACAGGAATCCAGACAGGACTCCTGGAGCTGGAATTGTTGGGAGCAAAAAGTCAACGCTTAACACTCAACAAAACGTCACCAGCCACTGAACCTGAGTCACAGGTTGTGGGCGAAGTGGGAGGCTGGGGAAGCGAGGTCGGGGGTGGGGTGGTGGTGGAATGTGGTGGATTGAGATTCGTTTAAGACCAAAGAACCTCAAGGGCCTGATCTTCGTTCCGGGGCTGGGCGGGATCTGGCATGGTGGTACGAAGGCTGGGCATCCTGCCCACGTTTGCTCAGCACCATCCTGCAGCCATTTGAAGATCGTTGATGCCCTGCATTGATTTGGACCAGGTGTTTCTGCCCCCCACCCCTGCCTCGGAGTGCCAGTCCCACCTCTGTGAACGTCAGGGCAGTCAAAGTGCCAATGACTCCCTTGTCCCAGCAGCACAAGTGGGTAGTACTAGGGGCTGCAGACAACATCTGACCAGGAGATGCCAGTGGAGCTCAGCCTTTTGGTACAGGTGTGGGGCGGGGGCAAAGAGAAACCTTTGGAATAGCTCTGTCCATCAAACAGAAACCCTCTCCTTACCCCCACCCCCACACCCCGAAACCACTGGCCAGCCACAAGGCTGGCAGGTTTCAGCGGGCAGCCTAGGTACTAGGAACTGGCCACCTCATAGTGCGGCAGTGGAAGCGGGCAATAACAGGTCCATGGGCAGGCAGGATGTCTGAAGCACGCTGCACCGCCACCACTGCCAAAGGGTCTAACAATGCCCTCTCCCCACCTACCATGCCATCCCACCCCTTATAAGTGTCATAAAGTTGAGCACAAGATTTTCTCTTCGGGTGATATGGATCCAGTCTGCTGGTACTGGCTGATAAGGAAAACTTTGGCAAAACTTTGGAAGAATGAATCTTAGACGAGCCCCCGCTTGTCTGCCCCATTTCATGAAAGGCCCAATCAGCCTTGGCCTGACCTTCCGCGCCTGTTGATTTAACATGTCTGAACATCACCTGTAACAAGGGGCCAGACATGCCTGAAAGAATGAGACGAGTGGTGCGCATCGGCATGGGTAAGTGGTACCGAGCCAACTGGAGTGGGCACAATACGCAGTTAAACACCTAAACCCAGCAGTTCCTGCCTCAATTCTACCACTTGTTAACTTCACAATAACATCCTCACCATTGACATGCATTGATGTTGTGAAATTGATATATACCGTATATATCTGTGTAACAGTCGAATTTTTTAAGACTTTTGTTTGTAGGTTAAATTGATGGAGTGGACTATTACATGGATACTACTTTTGAGTGTCTGAAATTCATGCTACAGTCCAAAATACCATATCATTAGCAGAAGCCCAACTGATCTCTGAACGAATAAAGAAAAAATAAACACAATGAATTATGGCAATTACTGGACAAAGACAGTAGAAACAAATTAGTAAGCTTTTATTTATACATACAAAAGGTGAGGTAGAAATATAATACAGCTGTAAATTACAATTAAACGGTACATCTTAAATTAAACATGTCAAGTACAAAAGTTCAGATGCATTAGGGACATTCAAGCGACTCTTGGATAGGCACATGGATGATAGTAAAATGAAGGGTATGCAGGTTAGTTTGATCTTAGAGTAGGATAAATAGGTCGGCACAACATTGTGGGCCAAAGGGCCTGTACTGGGCTGTACTGTTCTACGTTCTATGTTCATTAGAATCCTGCAAAATCACACTGTTCAACATCTTCAGCACCGAATAAAGCTTCATAATGATCAGGATGAATGATAACATCATATGGATCCCCTTCATTTTCACTGTCCGTTTCAGTTTAAATGCTGCTGTATATTTTTTTGTTTTTTTTTCTGAATGGCATGTTTATACGAAATGATGAAGGAAGTTGAAAACCTCAACTAGGTATATGACTGTATTCCACGATTGCCTGACTCTGACCTGATGCATCTTAAACTTTCACACCAAATTCTTCCATTTTCTCTCTCTACTGTTGTTTAGGTTTCTTCAAACTAACATTTTCAGCTTTTATTTCTGGTAAAAAAAAGTTATCAGACATTTGATTTTTAAACACTCACCGATCATTTCCTCATCATAACGTTAATGTACAGGATAATACCTTGACTCATAAATGTTGATCTGTTATCTGTGAAGAGCTAAGGTTGACTTTTACGTGAGGTAGATGGAAAATTCAAGATTTTTTTGCCCAAAAATAAGGGGTCAACTTTTGCATGAGATCGACTTTTACATATACGGTGTATATGCAAGGGTCACAAGCTAAAACTTTAGGACTTGAGATTAATAGTGCAAGCACCCTTTCCACTATGTAGTAACTTATATCACAGGCATAGGTGACAGCCTTGTGGTATTATCGCTGGACTATTTATCCAGAGGCTCAAGTAATGTTCTGGGGACCTGGGTTCGAATCCTGCCACGGCAGAAGATGGAATTTGAATTCAATAGGAGCAATCTGGAATTAAGATTCCTAACAATGACCATGAAACAATTGTCAATCATCACGAAAAATCCATCTGGTTCACTAATGTTCTTTAGGGAAGGAAACTGCCATCATTACCTGGTCTGGCCTACATGTGACTCCAGACCCACATCAATGTGATTGACTCTCAACTGCCCTCCAGACAATCAGGGATGGGCAATAAATGCTGTCCTAGCCAGTGACGTCCTCATCCCGTGAATGAATGAAACAAAATAATGACTCCAATACATCCTGTCTTGCATTGAGAATAATTTTAAATATGGAGTCTCATTCCTTCCAGCTGCAATTTTGAAAATGTTATATGCTGAAAGTTGCTATTTTGTCTTACTTAGTGCCTCTTGATATTTTTACTTCAGATCTTAGTCCAGAAAATCCAGAGATGTCCAGAATAAGTCCAGAATAGAAAATCCAACAGTGTGGAAACAGGTCATTCAGCCCAACAAATCCACACTGACCTTCTAAAGAACATCCCACCCAGACCCGTCCCCCTACCCTTTCCTTGTAACCCTGCATTTCCCATGGCTAATCCACCTCTCGGTCTGCACTTATTTCTCAATCCTTACATTGGATTCACTAAAGAGCTACTCTGTTATTTGTTCTGTTCACTCACACCAATGAAGTCCCATTTCATCCCTAACACCATTAACATTTCGCACTTTCTGCAACTTTTGGGGGCGAACGTGCTTTTGGCCATGGAGTGCATCAGCAAGTCAAAAGGCCAACACTGCTGGATCTTCATTTACCAGCAAAATCTTCCCCAAAAGTGTGCATTCCTTCATGTACCCAGATGCTCATTCTCCTGAGGGAACTGATGAACAAACATTCTCACACTGAGACGTTGTCAAGCGCCAGTTGCTTCAACTGTTCGGGATGCTCTGCCTGTTTTTTTTAATGACACTTTCCAAATGCTTCATTTCCCGAGTAATGAGGATTTCCTGAAGTAATTTTGAAGGACGAAGTTGGGATTAATTCAGTTGGGATAAAGGTCCAGTTAAAATGACTGGAATCGTTGCCAGATTTGGTTTGTTTTCTCATATTATTGGATCTGGGAAAGGTCTCTAAAGGTTACTGTAAAAAAAGACCGAAGACAATTACCATTCTTAAAGCTATCTTTTGCGGCTTCTGATAGTGTTTTACTGTAAAGGTTACACTGAGAACAGGAGATGTCTTTGCTTGTGCCATAATATATCAATGTCTTTTTCTGAAATGTAATTAAACAGACCAGGTAATACAGCAAATCTTTGATTCAAAAGTTACTACTGATAATCTATGAACAGACTCTAAGGCTACTGCATATGATATAATATGATATGATATGATATGTGAATGTGGCGTTTTCTCAGAGAAATTGCACTTCTTTTTCAGGACCTTCACTTCTCACAGGTTTGGAACTGAACAGCTCACTGAAGCATGGATCCGGATGGCCTGGAGATCAGTACCTTGGTCTCCGTTCCAACTATGTTTAGGATTTGACGACTACAATATCAAGTGAACCCAGAGTTAATAGAATCCTTATATCTTAACTAAAACCAACAGGAAAATGATTCTTTTTGTTCATGTTTCATTCTTGGAATGTAAGTGACATTTGTTCCACATTCCTAACTCCCCTTGAGAAGGTGACAATGAATCACCTTCTGAACTTCTGCAGTCTGTGCGGCGTAGGGTACACCCAAAGTGTTGTTAGGAAGGATTTTGACCCAGTGACAGTGAAGGAATGGCAGTATAGTTCCAAGGTGGGTTGGCATGATGCTTAGAGGGGTAATTGCATGTGGCAGCTCTCCCATGAGTAAGGTCCACCAACTTTCTCCAATTGCATGGGTTGCCCCTGAAATCTGACAGATCCAATTATCCATTGCTCCGGCCTTCATAGACCTGCCCAGCTACTGAAAATCTGCGGATGTGACGATTCTTGGCATCGGGAAGTCCCACTCCCTCCTAGTTGGAGGGAAATGTTTGGACTGTGCCGAAGCTCTTCCCTTGCGGAGCTTTATGCAAAGTTGGAATCCAAGGCATATCTGGTCCTTGGGTATGAATCTTCAGTCATTATAGAGGGAGTGTGATAGTAGAGTGGTTGCTTTTAAGATTACTTAATACGGTAGTAAAAGTTTGAAGGTGTCCTTTTAATATGAACCATTAAACCACAGCCTAGATTCTAAAGCTAGACATAATGATTTTGTAAGACTTTCTGAAGAGGAGGAGGGAGATTGTCCCGGAGTCTTGGCCAACATTTATACCTCCGTCAAAACCAAAAATACAGCAACTGCCAGTAATTTCATTGCTCCCTGTCAGAACTTGCTTTTCTAAGAAATCACATGACTTTAGATAAATAAACAACAATCTTCTGAAGAAATAATTACTGGAATGATTGCTGATTTGAGTTTTACAAAATACAAGGAGAAAGAGGGAGAGAGAGAGAGGGTGAGAGAGACAGAGATAGAGAGAGAGAAGGGACTCCAAAAGAAGTTTGACTCAGACAGAAGCTAATTCATTCAGAGAGCAGCTGGTAGATTCAGAGAGAAGTGGTCCTTAACAGCAGAAGTGCTACTATTAGTCATTCAAACCTTCAGCCCTGGGGGAGAAGAAAAAAGTCCTGAGGAAAGAAAACAGAAGCAGTCACCTATGAAAGTGCCTGGAAAGAAAACGTCCTACAAGGTTGTTGAACGTATGAGGTTAAGAAACCCGTGTAAAGCAAAAAGTGAGCTAAGTTAGCAGTTTGTTTAATGGTCTCTAGAGGAGACATTATCTAAAGAAGTAAAACATTAAGTGAATGCAGGAATTCTCTGAAAAGAAACTGACTTTAGCTGAGCTAGCTGAACAAGGAGCTATAGCACGGAGAATGAAATGACTCTTCACAGAGTTTTGGGTGTTTGGAAGGTCCTTTTCCTTCATTCATTTGTGGGATGAGGGCATCGCTTTTAGGCAGTGTTTATTGCCCATCCCTAATTGCCCAGGGGCCAGTTGAGAGTGATCCACATTGCTGTGGGTCTGGAGTCACATATAGGCCAGGCCAGGTAAGGATGGCAGTTCCCTTCCCTGAAGGACATGAGTGACCAAATGGATTTTTCCGACAATTGGCAACGGATTCATGGTCCTTGCCAGGTTCTTAATTCCAGATATTCCAGATGCCATGGCAGGATTTGAACCCAGAATGTTATCTTAGTCTCCAGATTAACAGGCCAGTGATAACATCACTAGGCTATTGCCTTCCCTGTTGCTCTTGGCTAAAAGTATTGAATCTCTCTTTTAGATATTTGTATTGATTTTGTTAAAATGGTTTGTATATTGTAATATAGTTTATATTTTGTGCAGTAAGGCTTTATTTTCTTTCGGCGTCACGGTAGCTCAGCTGTTAGCACTGCTGCCTCACAGTGTCAGGGACCTGTGTTCGATTCCAGCCTGTCTGTGTGGAGTTAGCACATTCTCCCCGTGTCTGGGAGCTTTAGTTTCCTCCCACAGTCCAAAGATGTGCAGGTTGGGTGGATTGGCCATGCTAAATTTTCCATAGTGTGCAGGGATGTGTAGACTAGGTGGGATTAACCATGGGAAAAGAGGGGTTACAGGGATAGGGTAGGTGCATGGGCCTGGGAGGGAAGTTCTTTGGAGAGTTGGTGTGGTCTCAATGGGCCAAATGGCCTTCTTTCACATTTTAGGCATTCTATGATTTTGTTCAAAGTACTCAGCCAACCTCTTAAAAATATGTTCAGTGACTGACCTCCGTGGATAAACAAAAAGAAAGAAAAAATCGGAACTTACGGTGTATTGAGCCGGGGTTCATTCTATTATGTAACTTGTCCAATATTACTATCAGCAGGGATTATAGCAATTGTGAACATCAAGAGTATTGAAATTGAATTGAAACATCTCAGAGTGGAACGTGGTGTGTGGAGAAACATTTAATTATATTGCACTGTCTGTAATTTTCAATTTAGAACATACTTTCCCTTGGGCTGTGTAACTGACATGGACCACACATTGTAATTATTAAGAATACTGTAACTGTGTTAAAGTATCTGAGAGTGGAACATGCCAATTAGAATTTATTTTGCATTTTCTGACATTTTTAAGTTGAGATGTTTCATAATGCACTTGTACAACTGTTATAGATAAAGTATATTTTTGGAATAAGAAGATCATTGATGTTCTCAACACCACGGCCAACTACATCCCTCGTGGGGGCCAATGATCACCAGAAGGAATTTCTGGGCTTTATTGCCACAGTAGTTTTCCCACAAGTTCAGTCTGATTGACTACATCCCTGAAGCTAACAATGTGCCACATAATGATAAACAGAGAAACAGAAAAACCATTTCCATTAATTTGTATCGGTGAGTGCTCAATGCCAGTTAATTATCTTCAGCATTTCCTGGTAGTTTTCATGATGCCAACATGTGGCGCCAGTCTACCATCTCCCTGAAACCTTTTTTTCTTGCTAGGTTACTGTCGCTAGTTTCATGCTATGACTAACTTTATCACACAAGATTCATGAGGACATAACCCGTTCCTCACTGGGGTGTAGGAGGTTGAGAGGTGACCTTAGAAAGGTTTATAAACTAAGGAGGGATATAGATAAGGTGTATTTTCCCTCGGGTGGGGGATTTCAAGACTGGGGGCATATTTTTAAGGTGAGAGGAGAAAGATTTAAAGAAGACATGAAAGGTTTTTTACATAGAGAGTGGTTTGTGTGTGGAATGAACTTCCTGAGGAAGAGGTGGATGCAGGTACAGTTATTAAGTTTAAAAGACATTTAGGTAAGTACATGAATAAAAAATGTCCGGAGTGATATGGGCCAAGGGCAGGCAGGTGGGACTAGTTTAGTTTGGGATTATGGTCAGCATGGACTGGTTGAACCGAAGGGTCTGATTCCGTGCTGTATGACTCCATGCTGAAAACTCAATTAAAGCCGTAGGTCATCATTAAGCACACCTTCGGACTGCTGAGCAAAGTGTTCACTATCTGTGCAAGTCTGGTAGTTCTCTGCAGTGAGACCTTCTTGCACTGTGATTGTAGGAGACGTTTGCTGAGAAATGAAGGCAGCATCTGTGGAACCTGCGCATCAAAAAGACCTCCCCCAATCTGAATAGGAAGGAAATGCACTGAGGGATGTGTCATGCACAGAAAGGCTGTAGTTAATGATAGTGTGACCAGAATAAAAAGAGCATTGGAATTTAAGCTGTGGCTATTCAAATATTCTCTCTCCCTCTCTCTCTTTCTCTCTCTCCATTTCTCACAATGAAAGGAGCTGACAGCATGGTGTGCGGGGTTGTGGGGGGCTGGGATTGGTGGTGGTACCTTCAGCTGCCCTATGAAGGTAGACTGATCTCACTCCCTCCTCTACATCAGGTTTTCAAATGCAGTGTAGGAGAATGCACAAGCTTGGTCTACCTGTCCAGGAACCCTTGTGTTTCCAACTGACCAGAGTGCACCTTGCCTTTAGGAGATGCCAGGTACCTCTAAAAGGGGCATCTGAGGCACACGGCACTTGGATCCCCTCAGAAAGACGTGCAGACAGTCAGTGGTGCAGGTAGAGATGGTTGCTCACTCGATTCACCATAACCAGAGGCAGCACAAGTTCGACCTGAATCTGTGTTAACTCAAATTTTGTTTTTAGATATATTTGGAGGAGGTGATGACCTTGCAATATTATTGCTGGAATATTAATCCAGAGACCCAAATAATATCCTGGTTCTGAGGAAGGGTCACCGGACCCGAAACGTTAACTCTGTTTCTCCTTCACAGATGCTGCCAGACCTGCTGAGCTTTTCCAGCAACTTTGCTTTTGCTCCTGATTTACAGCATCCGCAGTTCTTTTGGTTAATATCCTGGAAACTTGGGTTTGAGGCCGATGGTGGAATTTGAATAAAAATCTGGAATTGAGAGTCTAACGATGACAATCTGGTTCACTCGTATCCTTTGGGGGAAGAAACTGCTGTCTTTACCCTGGTCTGGCCAACATGTGACTCCAGACCCATAACAATGTGGTTGACTCTCAACTGCCTTCTGAGCAATAAATGCTGGCCTAGTCAGCAACATCCCCATCCTGTGAATGAATAAATTAAAATTGATCTTCTAACCTCTATCTATTACAGCTCATTTTTATTCAATCCCATTCAGTCCTTGCTGGGTGCTTCGTGCAGCATTCTGAAGGTTTCCTTTTGATTCAAGTAGATACTAGGAATAGAAATTGAATCAACATTTCTTGAGCTCCCTTGATAACATACACCGAATAAGAGACCAGAAGCAGCCAAAAGCAATGTATCCAGTGTCTATTGCCAAACAGCTTTCGTCCCAATAGTTCTTTGGGACGGTTTATGATTTTTATTTTAATGCAAAGCCTTCCCACCTAAACCAAAGAACTGCGGATGCTGAAGATCTGAAACAAAAGCAGAAATTGCTGGAGAAACTCAGCAAGTCTGGCAACATCTGTGGGTAAGAAAGCAGAGTTAATGTTTCGAGTCCAGTTCTGGTGAAGATTCACTGGACTCAAAATGTTCATTCTGTTTCTGTCTCCACAGATACTGCCAGACTTGCTGAGTTTTGCCAGCAATTTCTGTTTTTGTGTCTTCTCACCCAACTTTGGTCCATACATCTTCATTTCCACAATTTTTTCTGAACTAGAACATTCATTGTTAACCACAGAGTGATGATAAAAGGAATTGTTTTTAAAAATCACAGACTGCTTTGAATTTTGTCACGACTTCAGGTACATAATGTATCTTGCTGTCTGTAGTTCTGTTGCATTATTAGCCAGCATCAAAGTTTACAGATGACATAGGCTTTCTGTAGATTAATATAACACAATGACAATATCATAGAACGTTTGATTCCAACTTTGGATAATTGCCTCGTAAGTTTTCATATGCATCAGCGTCGAATGGAGAACTTGAAAGATCTAACTTTTGGCATCCAACATAGCAATCGTCTCCTCTTCAAACATTTTTAGGTGGCTGAAACACTTTTGGGTCCTCAACCTTACTCATGTCAGAGATATCCCTTGGGGCGTGATCTTACAGGAGATGGTCGATGAACTAGTCACCTTTGTGATGACTGTCCAGCAAGAGATGGATGGGAACTCAAATATAAGATGTGCTCTGAGGAAGGGTCACTGGACCCAAAACATTAACTCTGTTTTCTCCTCCACAAATGCTGCCAGACCTGCTGAGCTTTTCCAGCAACTTTGTTTTTGTAAGACGCGAGCCCTGCTCGGGGAGATGGAGAGCTAGAGAGTGCCAGACAAGAGGATAGTTTGCACCTAATGATTGGTAAGGCCTGCAAATGGTAA